GAAGAAAAGTCAGAATAGTGCCTGGCATGTAACAAGAACGCAGTTTCAGGTTACTAAGTAGAGGACTGTACAGGAGAAACAAAAATACCCAGTGCCTTAAGTAAGGCAGCATCAGACACTGTCAGCGGCGTGGCCCTTGCTTTTAAAGTATGCAGAACCTACTAAGGGGTGACATGTGCAAAGGCCGCACTGACCACGCCGTCTGTGTGTCATGCCAGGAAGTAATGCCGACTGTGCAGACGGCAGGGCAGGGGAAGCCAGCACGCGCTGAACGCTGAGATCGGGCAGCTGTAAAGGCGTCAGCAAGGACGGGGACGGGACCCAGAGAGAAGAAACGAAATCAAAGGGAAGAATGAAGAGCGGCCATGGAACAATCCAAACAATGCCACTCCTGGCCTCTGTCACCATGGTGTAAGAGCAGCAGACAATGTACAAACGGATGGACGTAGCTCTGTCCCCGTGAAGCCACCTGCAAACTCAGGTGGTGGGCCAGAGCTGGCACATGGGATGGAGTTGACCCTAAAGCAGAAACTGTTAAATCCCCATGGAGTGAAGGCGTTCGAGTTTCCAGTAGGTACAACTGTAAACACAACTGCAGCCTTGAAGCCAGGACTTAGAGAGGCCAGCAGGTGACACTGGGGGGCTGAGAAGGGAGTCAAGAGCTTCTACCTGCGCTAAGTCCACGGACTTGCTGTCGTTCTCTCCACCTGATGGAGAAAGCAGCTGAGACAAAGGGGAGGTCGCTGTCCTGCATGGGTGGGGTGGCCTGTGAGCCAGCACCGGCCTCAGGTCCCGGAGCCCACGTCCCTGACCGCCATGCCCAGTGTGTAGAGGTGTGTGCCCAGATGAGCACGGAGGTGCTGGGATGACCACCGGGGACCCACTGTTTATGCAGACAGACAAGAGGATGGAGAACGGGCAGCTGTGACACAGCACCACGCTCTGGACATTTATGGACCGCCTGAGAAGGGTCACCACCAAAGGTATCGGCAGGGTTGGAAGCCAAAAAACCCGGGCTGGGGCGATGTTACAGACGGGGAAGACAACACAGCCGAGGACGGATACACTACGGAGAGACGGGCTCGCTGAGCCCCCCCCACCTGCAGACGGCAGGCTGGACGCGGCGGCTCAGCCTTGATCGCGCGGGCCCGGGCCCGGAGCAGGGGGAGCAGGGGGGAGCGGGGGTCGGGAAGCCTGAGCCATGAAACGCTCATTCCGGCCCCCACACCCTGGTCTGGTTACTAAAGCCCAGTCAAGGTGCAAGAGAAGATTTCTAGAAACAAAGAATCAGGCTTTATTTTTGCAGTTGTTATTTTTAATACAGGTGTTGTATTGTAGACATCTGTTAGTCTTGCAGTTCAGAATGGCCAACCCACAGAAATGAAAGTCGAAATTCAATGAGAGTGCGTTCGCTTCCGCTCCCTGGCCGGCACCCTCCACCCCCAACAGACTCTGTTCTGCCCACCCCGCATCCTCTCCCCGCCCCGCAAGACAAGCAACGCAGAACACTACCCCAAAGGAAAGCCCCAAATGCCCTTCCGTCAGCAGCGGGCGGGATGAGACAAGACACTGGGTTTACCTTGGGTGGGATGGAGACGCAGCCGAATCCAAGCTGCCGGGGGCAGTGTGCGCGCCCCCGGAGCAAGCTGCTGGCCACCAGAGCCCTCAGCCCGGCGAGACGAGAGCGCACCAGCCATCAGCAGTCCCCGAGGTCCCGGGCCACATGCGGGCAGCACCCTTGAGACGAACGCAGGGAGCCCTGTCCTCCGGCAGCGTGAGGATCCGGGGAGAACGCTCAAAGACAGTCTCTTCTGAGAGGAGCTCACGACAGAAAGGGTTCCTGAGGAGGCGCGCGGAGGCCAAGGTCAGCGCCCCTGCCGTGTGTCCCAGGGCGCGCTGCCGGCTCCACGGTGCTCGAGGGCCGGGTCTGCGCGGGTCTGCCTCGCTGAGAGCGTCTACGCCGCTTACAGTGGGGAAGTAAGTGAGAGATAAGGCATCAGACATTTGATTTTTTTATTTCCATATGCAATGTAATGTTTAGGCACGCTGCTTGGGATGCTATTTCTAAAAAAATTGTTGGCCATTTTTCAGAATATCCTTTTGGTTTTAAATACTGGTCAGGAAAAACAAATGATGTAAAAATACGTGAATAATTTTCTATTACAGAAATGAAAAACTGATTTGCATCTAAAAGTGCAAGAGGTGAAGTAATTTAACCCTTTCACCAGACAATATGGCAATATACAATATATTGCTTCAGCTGTTTGAGAAGGCTGTGATGTATTTTTATATTGACATAGAAAATTATAAATTACATTGAATTAGTATCCATAATCACTATGTATGTACACAAACCAGCTCTAAAAAAAATACACTGGTTTAGGATTTACGAGTGAAAACCTCACAAGGAACAGTAAAACAACGAACATGCTCCGGTGCCGGGGGCTGATTTCTAGTTTAGAAAGACTAGCCTGTAGAATGGACGCACTCCAACTCCATTAGCAGCACGAGCATTTCTCAACTGCCTTGCCTAATACGATTTTAGGTGTGTTAAGTATGCAGATCGCTCTGAAATGTTCATTGGTGATGCCTGTTAACAAGGTAAATTTTGGTGAACGGGTTAAAAGGCAGATGGACAACCAAAACAAAACGAAAAACAAAAACAAACAAAAAAAAAAACAAAAAACCCAAACCACAAGCCATGTACACTCCAAATAGTCTAGTGTTTCACCTGTAGGAATAATCATTTCAAGCAAACAAGACTTTAACAGAACATATGGCTTTACAATAACATCAATTTATCAACTAAGTTGTAGCAATAAATACTTAATCTCTACCAATAGACTTACATTTTTTGATCCGTTTTAAACAATACAGAAAACAGTTACCAATCAAAAACTGGTTATAAAAAGAACACCAAATATTTCTTATTCAAAATCACTTTTGTAAGTTAGAACAACCAAAATAACACTTAGAGGGCATTTCAATCCTACAACTCCTCGCCAACCTGGAAGAAAATGAATTCAGAATTTTGTACAAGGTGAAAAAATGTATGAAAACTGCCTAGTACTTTGGTCACACTAATAATTGTCAAATAGTTATGTTTCAAATACAATAGATCTGTGTATTCACTTTTATAAAACTATTCTTACAGCCATTTTAACTATAGTATTACTACTATTATTACATGGGTGGCAAGATCTTATTTCACAGGCTACCCATTATTTAGAACAATACAATATAAACATACGCAAAAACTCTTGGTATTCGTCAATGTGCAATATTTTTACACTTCTGAGTTTCTCTGTACAATGTCTTAGAATCTAGAATATAAAGGTTGCTGGTCCTGATTACTCGCAGAGTGAGCGCAGCGTGGCGGCCCGGCGGGCTGCAGACGAGGCCCCGGAGCCCCAAGGGTGACAGCCTGCGGTCCTCAGTCAGCAGCAGCGGAGCTCACTCATCATACGGGGCCGTTCACCGCCGCATCACCGGGCACGCTTGGCTGGTCAGTCCTGCGGAGCGAGAGACGGACACCTGAGGCACTTAGAGCAGAAACGCAGGGCAGAAAACAGAAGGCAGACACAGACAGCTCGGGTCACGGAGGCATTCGGCAAGGGCGGCCAAAGCCGGTGCTGCAGGGCCTCCCTGCCTCGGCCCTCGGAAGCACAGAGCAGACTGGTCGGTGGTTTTACACGGCTGCTCCCCCAGCCTTCAGGAGCTACTCGCTCATCCCTCCTTCCAAGCAGCTTTTTATCTGTTCCACTGATTGGAATCCACATAAAATTTCACTTGAAAAATAGGATTCTGCTACTGAGGGAGGGAAAAAAAAGGAAACAAAAGAAAAGTTTGTAAAGAGGACCAACTTTGAGAACAAAGGCGTGCACATGAATAAATGTGCTCCCGGGAAGCAGACGTCAGGTGAACCTGGGAGCAGGAGGGGCAAGGACGCTATACGAACAAAGTGGTGACAGGATACCCAGGACCTTCCTGCCAAAACAGCCACCTAAACATACGATATTCTTGACAGTGTTACCAGAATGGTTATGAAGTAAACTCGGGGAAGGATGCTTAGAGCTGAAACTGGGAAGCACAAGCACTTCTGAATCGGCACTCAGAACTCACAAACCGGATGCTTCTGGTACTGCTAACCTAACAGAACCACGAGGTCAGCTACACACACAACGAGCCCTACTCATACTCGGTGGTGTCTCAATACACGAGGGACACCGGCCCTGGAGTTCTGGAACCAGACACAGCTGGGTACACATCCTGCCTTCACCATGGACAAGCTGTGTGACCGTAAGTCAAGTTCCTAACCTCTCTCAGTTGAGTTTTCTCCCCTGTGAAAGGGGGACAACACTCCTCCCCACCAGCATTAGTAAGCATTGATTGTGTGCAAAGTGCCTCCTTAGCACACTGTGGGCACAGAGATTGGACCATACTTGATTAACAGTGAAAAATAAAATTCTGTGGCAACAAAAATCTTTTAAGTACAATAGTGCTCATCTGTCAAGCCGAAGGACCGTGATACCTGGCTGCGGTGGGAACTGTGTGGCTAAGACTACATGCAGGAAGTCCCAGACAGCTACCTGAACCTTCAACCTTGCTACAAACTACTCTTAGAAAGCAAACGTGACACACTGGGAACTCACCTTTATCCCCGCTGCCCCAACAGCGGCCCAAACGCCAGCCTGCTCAGAGGCCTTCCCCACCGCCCTGTCTGAGCCGGGACTCCGACTCCTTCCCCCAGGCGCGTTGATCCCTCCCGGCCCCGTGCTGCCCGTGTGTCTCCTCTGCTACCGCTATCACCAGGCCCGAACCAGCGGCTGCCACATCCGAATGTGTGCTGCTGGAGGAAGGGCAGGTAGGCAAATGAGTGGTCACGAGGGTGCCCCTCTCCTTCCACTGACTGCCCCCAACTTGTCCCTCCATATCCTAGTCCCACAGGTAGGGGGAGGCAGATGTTTCTGTGCAGGGAGAAGAGAGAGTGGGCTCCCCTGAGGCAGACAGTCCCGCATTCCAGACAGCCACGTAACTGCACCCACAGGCCTGTATCCCTTCTGTCACAGAAACCCGGGACAGGGTCCCAAAGCAACTGCTCCCACGTGGGGGGACAGTGTCTTCCAGGCAGCTCTTGATATAAAGGACATTTACATACTAGGGAGACGGTGCAACTGATTAGGAACTAGACCTATAAAAGGTCTTCAAAAAAACACACACTGAAGACCTGAGGCAAAAAAAGCGACTTGTCCAAACCCTCAGAAGCCCTGCTGGGGCTGGACGCCCAACAATTGGAGTGTCACACCATCTCTTCCTCCCCAAGCCTCCCCACGTACACCAATTTGTTTTATATACACACACAATTTTTATTGGCAAAGGCAAACCCCTCGTTCTGGCTGTAATTTCCAAGAAAAACAAAAGCAGGGTCTGCTCCTCCCTGAACGTGGAGGTTACTGACCGGTGGACAGACAGTGCCCCCTGCTGGCTCCAGTGGCTTCATTACCCCTAAAGGCCTAGATCTGGGGCGGTCTGGTGAGGGGGGAAGTACAACTTCTCTGAAATGGCTTTGAAGGTTATTTTATTCCTTATAGAAGGAATACACAAGCTTGGATATACTTAATCAAACTAGTTAATACTGGGTAGTGCTGAGCAAAGGTCCCTGTGGTCCAAGGGCAAATCCTTAAGGTCTGGAGCAACTGGGGGCTGAGGCTCTGGCTGGGCCTATCCCTTCAGACCACCAGCTCAGTCTCAGCATAAGGTGACTAGAGAGATACCACATTTCAAATATCTTGGCTCTGGTGGTGGGATTTTGACACTTCATCCAGACAAGACAGACAGATACCTTTTGAACAAACCCAAAGGGGGAATCACCTGAGTTAAGAGCATTTTGCTACATGTATGAAAAGGTCTTCAGGACACTGCTCTCCCCGTGTCACATGGACACACCCGTGGGACACTGGGCACCGGGACTTGCTTGTGCCTGGCAGCTGGGTGACTTCATGGGAACTCGATCGTGGAGGGGCTCCATGTCAGCCTCAACTAAGTGCCTCATCAAGTAGACAGGGGGACGGCTAAGGGGAGACATGCCAGCCGGAGAGCCCCTTCCATTCCCAATAATCTCTCAAAGAGTCGGCGACATTATCCAATCTCCAAAAACCAGCTTTCAACTTCTGGAGTAGGAGACGAATTATGCTTAATTGCTCAGTTCAGTCACTCCGATTATCACAGGGAACTGAGAAAACACTCCTGTGCAAGAAAGTCACAAGCACTTGAGAACAACTGTAATGACCCCCTCCTCCCTCCCAGCCCCCATCCAGGCCAACTTCCCTTCCAGCTCCCCGGAGACAAAAGCCAAAGCCAGAGTAGAACCTAGACAGGATCTGAGAAGTGGGCAGTTACCTCTGCTCCGGACTACTGCTGGGGGGCCGAGGGACCGCAGACTTCCCCTCTGCCGTCTCAGGGCTCTCCTCCACATCTTTACAAGCAGCATCTTGAGAGGTAGACAGTTTTCCTTCCTCACTGCAGGAAAGAGGATGCCAGGCAGCATTAGATGCCCTAGGTAGCAGTGCCAGGGAGAGGATGAGGGCACATGCAGGTGGCTCTGGAAGTCATGGCTGCCATGGACCCAAGCCCTGGGGCCGAGCATGCTCAGGTGAGGGATCACAGAGACCACGGACATGACTGGGAGATCATGGAAGGGAAGGACCACACACAAGTGGGAGCCAGAAGAGGGACGATGTAATGCAGCTGGTGTCTGGTAAAGAACGGTCCACATCACTGTACATACCGATAGGATTTCAACACTCTGAAGCCAAGTGTGCAAAACAGAAAAAGAAATGTACAAGAGTTTCAGAATACTCCTATAAATGGGGTATTTTGGGGAATAACATGTCCATGACTGCACATAAGCAAAACTGCAGACTCGGTGAAGGTGTCAAATAAACCTGTTTGAAGGAACGAGTCTTCAGTTAGAGCAACCTGCTTTCAGGGCCAAGCCCACCATCTGAAGTCAGCTGGACAGAGCCGAACAGCCTGCTGGCCGGCACCACGTGAGCAAGATGCCGCGCGGCCTGAGCCGGGATGAACTTCCCGAGTGGCCCCCCAACAACGCCACGAAGGAAAAGAGAGCCAACCACAGCGGCCAAAAGAGATAAAAACCAATCCTGAGGGGTCAAAGGCCAGGGAAATAAAACATGAAAGGATGATTTTCCCCCTTAAGCGGGCTCTTGGGAGGAAAGACAAACAGCAAATGCTTTCAACTATCTGTGGGCTGGAAACTTAAAAGACTTCTGCCTGTTCTGTCTGGATTTCCCATTCTGACACAATTCAAGATGGCACTAAATTGAGCTTAAGGGCAGCCAGAGATTCCCTTCTGGATGGTCCAACGTTCTTAGCGTTGGGTCCCAGACTTGCTTACAGAAAACCTCACCTCAAGATGACTTCTCGGCGGCTTTCAGATGGGTCTGGGCAATTTATAAGGAGGAAAGGAACTGAAGTCTAGTTCATGACTTTATCCCCTTTCTCTGCTCCCTGCCGGCCAGAGCAACTATCCTGATGTGTTTGACATGTTATTACTTTCACTCTTGTGAAATGAACAGTCAGTGCATACGTGTGTGTTTGGAGACACACAATGAGCCCTTGAATCACACACCTCACTGTACTTATCGCTGTGACAGCACAGTTTGGAAGATCAATTCTTCCTGCCAACCTGGCACACACCCCGTGCGGGTGCACCTCCCAACTCCACCGAGCCTCCCACGGTGACCAGCACCAAACTGCCTCTCCCCCACACCTCTGGCACAACCCTGCAACCACCGCCCCTGCCCGCGGCCCCAGTGGGCCTGCCCGGGCACTTCCCAGGGCTCTGCACCTCAGAGTGGAAAATGTTGGTCATCTTTCCCTGTCATTCTCCAGAACAACTGCCCCGCTAGCAGGGCAACAGGGTTCCTGTGGCCCCACCAAACACTCAGCATCACCCACCTTTCCAGTTCTCACTAGTCTAGCAAGAGGTGCCTGATAACAAGTGAGTCCTGAGTATCTCTTCTTAGGTTTCTGGGTTTGGGTTTTTTGTTTGACTATTTTGTTTTGTTTTTGCCCTTTTGGGTTTCCTAGTCTGTAAACTGCTTGTTGATATTTTTTGCCCATTTTGTGATTTGGGTTTTCTATCTTTTCCTTATTGGTTTGACTATTAAATGCTAATTTTCCTTTTATTGATTTAGAACTATGAGCTTTCCCCCCCTCAATCTGCCATCTGCCTCTTAATTCTGTCTACAATACTTTATCAACCAGAAATTCTTAACTTTGTTGTAATCCAATTCTGCTCTTTGCATGAGGTTTATGCTTTTGGAGGCTTCTTGTTGTCGTTGTTTTGTTTTTGTTTTGGAAAAAAGCCCTTCTTTGCCCACGGGTCAGAAAGATACACTGCACTGTCTTCTATCTGCCATGAGACTTTGGCCACATCACTTAACTCCAGTGCTTAACTTTCCTCTTCTGGAAAGTGGGATTATAACCGTGGTACTCATCTTACAGGATGCTTGAGAGAAAGACACAAGGGGACACACGTGAGACAAGTGGTACCGCAGCCGGCACACAGCAGGCACTGCACACATGCTCTTGCCTTCACAGTCGGGCTCCAGTCCATCTGGATGGCTCTTGTCTCCTCTGTTCCCCTGGACAGGGCCAGCCTCCTGCCCCGGCACCTGCTAAGCTACCCTTCTTGTGACCAAGCTCTTTCCCATCACACCAGCCTCTTTATCTGTGCTTTAATTATTCTGACGCTGTAGCCTGACCAGTACCTGCCAGGGCAAGTCTGTTACTAATCTTCCTATGGTACTCTAGGCAATTGGGGAAACTTTTTATTCCACATGAACTTAAGAGCATGTTTATCAAATGTCTTTTAAAAGTCCTACTGAATGAACTTTAGGACACAATTTGCAAGGTGAAAAGCCTTTGTGATTCTGTTAGTTTGCTAGTGGATATTTCAGTCTTTGGATGAACAATATCACCAATGAAAAGAGTACAGATCAGCTCTAGGCTTATGTGAAATAAATAAATACAGTAAAAATGCTCTGAAAAAAGAAATCCAACTGAAAGTGTGACTGGGACTATATTAAACTTAAAGATTAACTTGGTGACGGCGACTGTCTCTGCAGCACTGAGCCGGCACGTTGCTCCGTGTGCTGGCCTGCCCTTGTGCACAGCTCCTTCTGTGGCTGCTGTAATTAGCACTTCCAAGTTTTCTCTATAGATATCTGGATTAAGATATTTCCTAAACAACTTACAATTTGAAATATTATGTGACTGGTACTTCTCCTTTTATTTTATATACACCCTAGTTGTTTATTACTGAAGTAGAGAAAAGCTACTGATTTTTAAAACTGCTCTCTTACCTGGTAGCTTTGCTGAACTCTCATTAGTTACAAGTCTGCTTCTGACCTGGCTGCAGTTGATCATTATTAACTCCAAATCACTCCCTGTCTCATCGTTACCTAAACCTCTTTTTCTTTCCTACTAACATTGCCCAGAACTGCCTGCACAGTGGCAATGACAATGGGCAGCCTTATTCGTTCCTTACATTAAAGTGAACGCATCTAAAATTTCTTCATCAGGTATAATTTTTGCTGTAGTATTCCACTATTTAACTTTTATCAAGTTAAGTAAACTCACTTCTCTTCCTGCTTTGCTCAGAGTTTTAATCATATATAGGTATAAAAATTTTTCACAAGTTTCAAAAATATCAAATGATTTCCTTCATTCTATTAATATTTGGTGAATTATACTGATAGATTTTGCTGACTGAACCATCCTTGCAGTCCAGCGATAAACTCTAGCTGAACATTATGAATTATTTTTAGTAAGCCTTTGGGTTCATAGCAAATATTTTGTACAGGATTTTTGCATTTAGTTTGCTTGTAAGTGACATGAGCTGATCATTTTCTGTAATTATACTTACCTGGTTTTGCAATTAAGATTTCACTGCCTCATAAAAAGATCCAGGCAGTTTTTGTACTTTTTCCATTTTCTGTAACAACCTAAGATAGGAGTTAGTAGATTACTGTGCACGGAATAGCACCGAATCATCACTGTCACTAACACACCGGCTGACTTGAGAGGCTGGCCTGCTCTGGAGCTAGCCTGCTCCTTACTTCCCTCCACAGACAACAACTTGTTTGTGTCCTTTGTCCATTAAAAAAATTATTAAATTGTGTCTCTTTCTTATTGGCATTAGGCTCTTCCTATGCTCTGCTACAGCGTGTTCCTTTGCTGGTCATGGCTTGTCTTTCCATCTCACAGCGTCTATTGGAACACTAGAAACTACATAAAGCCAGATTTGCCAGTCTTTTTATTAATGGTTTGGCTTTTTTATGGTTGAGAAATCCTTTACCACAACATTAAAGACCCTCTCTCATGCTGCCTTCTGAAAGCTGTAGCTTTGCCTTCCATACTTATGTTGAGACAGAGATTTAATTTTATTTTTCTCTAATATGGATAATCACTATTAGTCCAGTCTTCCCTCCCCAAATTATGTCATCCTAACATGTATCAAGCTCATGTGACTGTAGGGGCCTGTGTGTATAACTCTGTGCCAAGGCCACACACATCACCTCAGTAATAAGCCTTGATACCTAATATGGTGAAGCCCCCCTCACTTTCCTCTTTAAAGTGACCTAGGCTGTTCTTGGTTTTCCTTGGTCTTCTCTGTGAATATCAGAATCAACATCTCCCCTTCATTAAACAAACAAACAAAAACCCTAAAAAACTCCATCAGGATTTTGTGGAGAAATGTGCTTATTTTGTAGATTAATTTGTTAAGAAATGCCAAAGATATCATCCCTTTAGCAAACATGGCATATCTCCCTATTTATTTAGGCCTTTGTTGTATCTTTCAGCCTGCGTTACAGACAAGGTTTTTAACATTTTAATTTTAAAAAGGGAGAGGCCTACCTAGGACATCTTGTGTTGATTTATAAGACGCAACTGTTTTGTGGTTGTATCCAGTAAACTTCCTAAACTTTTTTAGTAATTCTAATATTTGCCTATAGATTCAATTGGAGTTTTTTATGTAGAAAATCATAATCTACAAACAATAACCATTTTCTTTAAAATCTTTATACTTTTAATTTACTTTTATTTTCTGCTACATTTGCTAAATCTGGGTTATGTCTTTGAAGGGACTATTTCCAATGCTTCAGTGCTGAATAAAGTCTGCTGTAGATTTTTTAGTAGACACTTCAGTTTCAGGTAGCTACTTTCCATTCTTGGGATGCTAAACAGTTATGAACAGCTTTATTTTTTGTCAAATGCTTTCTGTCTGTCTACTGAAGGTCCAAATGGCTTTCATCCCTTTATCTATGAATTACTTTCAATAATCTTTACAATGTTACAACATCCCTACATTCATGTCAAAGATCTTTGGTCATGACTTAAAAACACACTGCTGGATTTGGTTTGCTCACTTTTATCTTTAAAGTGTCCTGCATATACACCTACACATGAGATATTAACCTACAATTAATTTTTCTTTCATGCTTTGCTTGTTTTTGGTTCATAAGTTGGGAACCATTATTTCTCATGATCTGAAAGGGTCTATATAAGATGGAGACCAAAGTTCAAAGCACTGATTTAGTTGCAGTCTGTAGGTTCTGATCGAATTTTTTCATTATTCCTTCAGTTTTAAGTTTTAAATTTTCATTATGATTCCTTTTTTGATACCCATGAACTTAGAAGTGAGGTTAATTTCCAAGTATGTTTTTTTAAGCTATCATTTTGCTACTGAATTCTACTGGTTGCATTATGTCTGGAGAAAATGATCTGTAAACACTGAACCTCTGGTTTAGATGCACCAGGCTATGTGGCCTGTATACAATGCAATTCCTATTATGGCTAGAGGCCTGTCAATTTTTTTATACTTATGTATTTTGAATCTGTAAGATTAAACTACAGTTTTCTGAACATTGTAAAAGAGGAGGAGCACGCAAACTTAGGGATCAAAATTCCATCTCTTCATTAAGATTTAATGAATTAATGAAGATATCAGAAAGATGTCAGGCTAATGTCTGAACCCACATTTGAAGCAAATTAAAGACGTTAGTATTTGCAGCCTCTCGCCCACCACCCTCCCAACAACCGGAAGCTCCAGGATGACTGAGCCCCTAGTTACCTTTTGAAGACCGCAGTTTCTGTCTTGGCATCCACAGTGAGGCTGAGCGTTTCCTTCATGCCGCCATTCATCACTGTCTCAGTTACCTTGTCCGTGCTTTCAGCATCCTCCTCTCCGTCAGAGCTGGCTTCCATGGCCACACTGCCTGGCGCTGAAAAGCACACACAGCGGATGGTCACGTATACCAAACCGAACAAGAACGGTTACCCCTGTCCTGTGCAGACCCATCCACCCAGCATTATTACCTCCACTGCTTGAAGAAGAAGAAAAGTGAGATGGCCCACCTATTGCTCCCGGGCTGACTGACGGGCACAGGGAGCCAGGGCAGAGAAGCTGCCTGGGTGCCCCCTGTCTCCCCAGCTGCCCACAAGCCCACCTTCCTCCCAGCCCACATTCCTGTTCCTAATGCTCTCTGGCTCCAGCACGGGACAGAGGTGGCGGCTGCACATTGCAGCCTCCAGCCACCACAGTCCGTGTACTGTTCATGGTTCTTCTGTGTACTGTTCTCAGTCATCCTTTTCCTTTCACTTGTGCCCCTTGGGTCCCATTCTTTTCTCTTTTTTCAAGTTACCTTTTTGTGGTTCCCTGTGGATTATGTCTTTGTTCTGTAAGAGGGGTATACTGGTTATAAGCTTTGGCTCTGAAGTCAGAATCCCTAAATTCAAACCCAGCCTGACCACTTACTAGTCTCAGAGCCCTGGGACAAGGTGCCCCACCTGTGCCTGGGTTTTCTTTTCCACAAAATGGGGTGACTGACCCTAGGGAGACCTGCTGAGGGACAGATCAGGTCATCCAGACAGAATGTAGAAGAGTGACATACAAACTACTAGTTACTGGGTTCTTTTCTCTGCCCCTTGGTTCTTGTGCCCTCTAGCTGCATCATTTCTTCTTTTAAAGACTCGCTTCTTTGTTCCCTCCACACTACCAACACACCCCCCTTCTCCACTCCACTCACCTCCCGCAGCCCTAATCATCAGGTTGGAAAATGGTTCAGGGCCTATGCAAGGAACAATGTGCATATTTTAAGTAACAAGACAGCTACTGGGTACCCCTGCCCATTTCATCTGTTCATAAAGGAGAGAAGCAGAGAAACAACCACACAGCCTGAAATGTGCCCAGATACACAGACGTGCTCCGACAAAGCAGACGAGACTCTGAGGGACAGAAGAGCTGGGTGCAGGCCGGGTTTGGCATGCATGTGGCTAATTCTGGTTTTATTCACCCTGGTACTGCAAAGACCACCTTTCCTCTTCTGTACACTGAGGGGACTGAATGATAACTTAGATCCCTAACCCCTTCTAGACTCAACATGCTGTAGTTCTGGACTAAATACACAATTCCTTTTCATCAGTTGCCTGTGGACATCAGACCCATCATCTTATTTTCCTGGGTCCTTTGAGCCTGAGAGTCAAGTCTAGTTTTACAAACCTGCTATGAGGCCAAAGACAACTTTTCAGATCTAGAAAACTAAGCAAAAGTTAAAGTCTGAACAACTACCGAATGACCGGTCCATAGGCCAGGCACCCTGGTGGTCTCTGCACCCACCTTCTGGCTGGGCTGCCAGCGCAGCGACACTGGGAGTCAGAGGGTCCATCGGTTCAGTGCTGGTTTCCATCTCCACTGGAGAATTACTCCTTAAAGAATCTTTTGTGCTTTTAGAAAAGAGAAAATTCAGATATCAGCAGTGGAAAATAGCCGTCGGTTACCATTAGTCACAAAAAACCTCTGAAAACGAGTTCCAATTCCACTGGGGAGACATCAGCAGTTGGTTAAATATCCAACGACACGCAGATCTAAGAACTGAGAGCAGCCTGAAGCTGGCGACGAGTGTGGTTATCTCTAAATATTCTGCTAAACCAGCAGGGCAGTAACACAGAGACTTCTTAGAAATTTCTAGACAGTTTCAAATGCTCCCAGCCCCTCGAGCGCACTGTGATCACCAGGCTCCCAGGGCTGGGACAGCAGTGCACATACGTACAGTATCAACTGCGTCGACTGTGCCATTTTTGACAAGAATCCTTATTACCTCGAGCCAAACTGCCCACGGGGCCTGGCCCTCTTAATGACACTTCGTGAGAAAGCAGCCTGTGCACAGGGGTTTGCAAAGGGAAGGAAGCTGCTTCAACAACTCTCAACCAGAGACAGGTGGAAACATGACTGTCCGCTCCCGGAGCAGAGGCAGTGGAATGATTCGTAGTGTTTTGGAGGCGCTTCCCACCAGCCTCACCTTCACCTCTGAGTCAGAGGTTACCGTTACTATTACAGCTGCTACGAAGCAACATGGGTTTTAGCCGAGTATACGCTTTGGTTCACGTACAACGGTAACCATTAACTCGTAACAGTTTGTCTTTTTATCTTTTCCATCAACAGTGATTGTTTAAAAAGTCACTTGTTAGAACAGGGAAGCAACAAAATTTTTCAGATGGAGTGGCAGAGACTAATTTTTTCAGTAGACAAAATAAAGCAATGCTAAGCAAATCAAACCAAGCCTAACGAGACGTGAACCCGTGGTTAACACTCAAATGCTAACAGCATTACTCTGGAAAATTACGAAACGACAGGTTGCTGTTA